TTTGTATAGATGTTTGTATATATATGTGTATGTTTTTTATTTTGTATATATATTTATATTTTTATTTGTATATAGATATGAATATATATGTATATTTTTTTTTGCTGTTTATTTATTTTATTTTAAATTTAAAAAAAAAAATCGATTTTTTTCATATTTTTTCGGAATTTTTTTTAAAATATGACGTGGCATGCTGATGTGGCAAAAAAATCTATGTGGCGTGCCACGTCAGCCGCCACGTGACGTACCACGTCAGCGGTGAACGGATACTTAACACTGTTTTCGGATTGTGTAGGAAATTGCAGTTAAATTGGGTAGTTCGTGTATCAATTTGACATATTTGATAATTTGGTGTAGTTTTTTGTCAAATTAAAAATTCGTGTAGGAAAAGGTCACATTTTGCAAAATTGGTGTAGAAAAATGTCATTTTCCCTTATTTAAATTATTTTAGCGGTTATTTACCCTACATATACATTTGCCGCGAACAAAACATATTAACAACTTTAACAAAAAAACATATTAAAAACAACTATGATATATTCAACTCAAATCTTATTCAAAATTCTGTAAAATGGTATAAAGATCCATGACATATGTTTGTTTGTACATCGTATTAAATACATAAAACAGACAGACCTAATATTTAAATAAATATGTATATATATATACACACACACACCTGATCTATAGCTTTCATTAAAAGGATTGAATTAATTATCCTATTATTGAATAGTTATTTCATCGACGCATTGAAATCTGAATGAGGGGGAAGACGGAAGAGTATCATAAAGGAAACGAGTCCTCCCAAACCGAAATAAAACGGGAAGTTAGGGGTAAATTTGTAAATATACAGCTGCCCTTTCCGGACAAGAAGTTGCCGTAAAAAGATTCGGAAAAATGGTGCAAAAATAAACCGACCCGACCCGTTTCCAGGTCCGGGTTAAAATCAGCCATTGTCGATTCGGTCTAATAAAAGAGTGCTCCCTGACAGAGAGAGAGAGGTAGAGTGGTAGCTCGAGCGCAGGTTTAGTCGCAGCATCATCGTCGGCACTATTAACGCTGGCGAATTTTCCGTCGTCCTCCGTACCGGAGAAAAGCTCGAGGAGCTGAATCTGTTTGGATTTTTAGAACTCTCTTTCTTTCCCTTTTCTCTGGTCCTTTGCTTTATCTCTTGTGTTGTGTACCCATGTTCTGCAACAGTTGAACCATGCATCCCCATATGTTCTTCTCGCTTCCCAATCTCGCATTCATCTTCTCCTGTGATCTCTGATTCCTCATAAAGGCATTACAGATACGAAACTGCTCGAAAGATCACTCTTTGTTTCTACTTCCTAAGATAAAATCTGGGTACTTCGTTCAAAAGACAAGTCCTCTATTTTAGGCTGAAGAAGCTCGAGATCTGTGTTTCTTCACTTGCCTGAGCTTTGGTGGGTTTCTGGTGAAACCGAAGAAAAGGGTTAGTTTTTTTCTACGGAACGAAATCGGTGACTGTTCACGAAGAATTCAAGCTTATGAGGCTGAAAGCGGTTTTGTTCTGCAGCACATCCGGTTTCCGTTGATGGGTTTTTTCATCTCTAGGGGAAATCTGGTCTTAGGGTTTTCAGTTCTCGAAGATTTGGTTGGTGAAGCGTGGGGAGTTGGGGGAGGAGGGTAAAAGCTAAAAAAAGTTATGCTTTTGGTGCTGGCTGGTGATAGTTGTTTTCGGGACCTCGAAATTTCGAATCTTTGAAGAACAAAAGCTGGAAAAAAAATTTCTGTTTCGGAACAAAAATGAGGTTGTCATCTGCTGGTTTCAATACTCAAGCTCATGAAGGTATTCCTCGTCTTTCTTCTTCTGTCATTTCCTCTCATTTTCTCTGTGGATTCATGGTCCTTTCAATGGTTTTCTCGGAAAATGCAGGAGAGAAAAGGGTTCTTAATTCTGAGCTTTGGCATGCTTGTGCGGGTCCTCTTGTCTCATTACCTCTTGTCGGAAGCCGGGTCGTTTATTTTCCACAGGGACACAGCGAGCAGGTTTACTCATCTCATGCATCATGGCTTATGCTAAATCCGATCTCTCCGACAAGATTCTGATTTCAAAGCTTTTGATCTTTGGCTTGATTTTCTCTGTTTCTTGATTAACAGTGCCTGAATTACGAGTATGACTTATGTAAAAATTGGTTCTTTAGGTTGCTGCTTCGACGAACAAGGAAGTAGATGCTCATATACCGAACTATCCAAGCTTGCAACCACAACTAATCTGTCAGCTTCACAATGTCACCATGCATGTAAAGATTTCTCCTTGTTCTTGATTCATTTCCTGGCTTTTCCTCTGTTTTGTTCTTTTTTCTTTTTGTGTGTCGGTTTAGGACCAAATATGTTTGATTTCAGGCGGATGTGGAGACAGATGAAGTCTATGCCCAGATGACTTTGCAACCTCTGAATCCTGTATGAGAGAATTTTACTCTGAATTCTGAATGTTTTTTTTTGTGTGTATTTGGATCCGATAGTTGATTTTTTGTTTTCTGCCCTCCGGTTCAAGCAGGACGAGCAGAAAGATCCGTACATTCCGGCTGAATTAGGAGCACTGACCAGACAGCCAACGAATTATTTCTGTAAAACCCTTACAGCAAGTGATACAAGTACTCATGGTGGGTTTTCTGTTCCTCGTAGAGCCGCCGAGAAAGTGTTTCCTCCACTGGTAGATCTTTAGATTCATCCGACATTTCTATAACTCGTATTCAATCTTTTATCTCGCCGTCTATTCATCGTGTTTGCGGTTTTTTTCTTCAGGATTTCACACAGCAGCCTCCGGCTCAGGAGTTGATCGCTAGGGATCTTCATGACAACGAATGGAAATTCAGACATATCTTCCGAGGTCTGGTTTTTATACAAAATAGAAAAAAAAACCGATCTTTTCAGTCTCCATTTTCGATTGCTTTGAGATGGAATCAGTTGAATGAGGATTGTTGCTTTTGCAGGCCAACCCAAGAGGCATCTCCTTACCACGGGATGGAGCGTATTCGTCAGCGCTAAAAGGCTTATTGCCGGAGACGCTGTTCTTTTCATTTGGTCGGTTTTTGCAGTTTCGCATCAGTTCATAACTTTTGTATAAACATCTTTATGGTAAAACGTGAATCTTGGAGTCGATCCATGACTTGTTCATTCAGGAATGATAAGAATCAGCTACTTCTCGGCATAAGACGCGCCAATAGGCCGCAAACTGTAATGCCCTCGTCGGTTTTATCAAGTGATAGTATGCATTTAGGCCTTCTTGCTGCTGCAGCCCATGCAGCTGCCACGAATAGCCGCTTTACCATCTTCTATAACCCGAGGTAATGTTTTTGTTTTGTGTTTTTTCGCCCGTGGTTGAACTTTAAAGAAAGGAATCTTAAAAATTTCACCTTTTCTCGTTCAGGGCGAGCCCGTGTGAATTTGTAATACCACTTGCAAAGTATGTTAAAGCAGTTTACCACACTCGTGTTTCGGTGGGCATGCGCTTTAGGATGCTGTTCGAAACCGAAGAATCAAGTGTCCGTCGGTAGGCAAAACTCATAAATTTCCTGTTTTTTTTTTTCCGTTTTCGTGTCCTGTTTTTTTTCAGCTGGATGTCTTACGGAAGCTTTGATTTCAGGTATATGGGCACGATAATGGGAATAAACGACCTGGATCCTGTTCGTTGGCCTCACTCGCACTGGCGGTCCGTCAAGGTTAGTTCCAAACCAACCGGTTTTCGTTAGATTATAATGTCAGATCCATTCATTTGAGTGTTGATGTAAATAATATCGAACTTTTGGTTAATAATGCAGGTTGGCTGGGACGAATCTACCGCGGGAGAGAAGCAACCGAGGGTTTCGTTGTGGGAGATCGAGCCTTTAACAACGTTCCCGATGTACCCTTCTCCGTTTCCCCTTCGGCTTAAACGACCATGGCCTCCTGGGCTTCCATCTTTCCACGGTTCTTTTTCTCCAATCTTGATCCTTCAAAGTTTCAAATTTCGATCTTGCTCGTTTTTTTTCTCTCATTCTTGATACATTTTTCGTTTATGTTTCCAGTGTCAAGTATCAAGGAAGATGATTTGGGAATGATGAGCTCGCCGCTTATGTGGGATCGTGGCCTCCAAACCCTAAACTTTCAGGGTTTCGGACTAAACCCGTGGACAATGATGCAGCAGCCGAGGCTCGATGTTTACCAAACAATGGCTGCTTCTGCACTACAAGACACAAACTTCTCGACAAGACCCGTTCCAGAAAACCAACAACCTCAGTCTCTTCAGACCCAAACTCCGGCAAACAATCTCCTATCTCAGCAGACCCAATTCGTTTCCGGGTCTCAGTCCATTCCGCCGTTGTGCCATCACCTGAGCTTCTCGGACACAAACTGCATCGGGAATAACCCGATGACAAGCTCGATTGTTTCTCCTCTCCATACCCTTTTGGGTAACTTTCCGCAGGATGAATCCTCCTCCTCTCACCAAATGCTCAACCTCACCAGATCAAGCTCGGCTATGGCTTCCTCTGGTTGGCCGTCAAAACGAGCTGCAGTTGATTCATCTTTCCAATCCTCGGGATCGCGTAATAACAGTAATAATAATACTGAATGTGTGATGGATCAGTTACCTCCCTTCCCGGGTAGGGAATGCTTGGCCGAGCAAGATGGAAACACCGACCCGCATAGCCATCTTCTGTTCGGAGTCAGTATAGATTCATCGTCTCTTCTGATGCAGAGTGGAGTATCGAACCTTAACGCCATTGGCATCGAGAATGACTCCACAGCGTTACCCTTCTTGTCCTCAAACACCGTAAGCATCAACGATTTCTCATCTAATCTGGCCGTGATGCCATCCAGTTGTATAGATGAATCGGGTTTTCTGCAGTCTTCGGATAACGTTGGATCGGAAAACCCGCAATCCACAACCTTTGTAAAGGTAACAGCTTTTTCCGTTCCTGGGCTCGGGGCGTATATAGATTTTACGTATCCCGTGAATGATTGATTTCGTATCGTGTCAGGTTTACAAGTCGGGATCCTTTGGAAGATCGCTGGATATATCGAAATTCAGCAGCTACCACGAGCTGCGTAGCGAGTTAGCTCGCATGTTCGGCATCGAAGGCCGACTGGAGGATCCTATGAGATCAGGCTGGCAGCTTGTATTCGTCGACCGGGAGAACGACGTTCTTCTCCTCGGCGATGACCCTTGGCCGTGAGTTTCGGATAATCCACGCCCCTTTTAAACTCCGAAACCCGATATTTCCGTATAATCCGCAGCTCGAAAAGACGTTTTTTTTTTCTCGCAGGGAGTTTGTGAACAGCGTGTGGTGCATCAAGATACTTTCACCGCAAGAAGTTCACCGAATGGGCAAACGAGGGATCGAGATTCTTAGCTCGGGACCGTCCGTCCGGAAGATACCTAACGGCGGCGGGTGTGAAGATTTCGGGAATGGGCATGACCCGAGGAATCTGGGCGGCAGTATCGCCTCGGTGGCCGGCTCGTTCGACTACTGAAAACTAGGGTTAATTAGTTTTAAGCCTTCAACCTCCTTTACTGTTACAAGAAGGAGCCTACCCTTTGGACAAAAATCCCAACTTTGATATCTCTCTTTTACGAGATATTGTAATTATAAGATCGTGTGGTTCATATGTATGATTTTAACCGCATAGCGGTTGAAGGAGATGTTGATAATGGTTTATTAGAGATATATACAAATATCGTTGATATGATCTATAATATATATCTATAATATAAACGATATTTGTATATATTTCTTTGTACGGTTTGAACATGTTCTCTATTCGAATTTGGGACCAAATGTATGTATGTATGGACTATGGGTCCATGAAAAGTGGTGTTGATCGCACGTATAGAGAACAAATCCCATAAATATTCCATTCTGAATTTAAATGTCATTAAAAATAATGAATTCGTGGTTTATAATAAAAATGTATCAACTTACACTCTTAAAAAATGATCAATTACATTTTAATTCTAAATTAATCCGCTCATTATATTGATCAAATTTTATGAGGGTTTGTTTACTTTTATATTGTACGCCCGCCGGATTAATGTTGACGTCACAATCACATCAATTGCATACATATACATATACATACATATATATATACACATGCATATGTATATATTAATATTATTTCTTAAAGCGAACTTGATCACTTGTTGTTCATGGCATAACTAATTAATGATAAAGAGGTTTCACTTTAAAATAAGGGATAATTCCATTTAAAACCCTGTACTTTTCTCTCGTCTCAATTTAAATCCTGTACTTTTTTTTGATCCAAAAAAACATTGTACTTTTAAAAATTGGCAATTAAAACTCTATATTTTTAAAAATTAGCAAATAAAACCCTGAACGAAAAACAATATTATTTAATGCTGACATGGCATCCTAATCATCTGCCACATCATCAATTCCTAATATTTAATAATATTAATTAATATAAAATAAAAATAAAATAATAAAAATAAAAATAAAATTTTAAAAATTATACACATACATATATAATGAAATGATATACATATATACACATATATAAACATATTTATATATATACACACATATATATAATACATATATATATATTTATATATGTATGTGTATAATTTTTAAAATTTTATTTTTATTTTTATTATTTTATTTTTATTTTGTATTAATTAATATTATTAAATATTAGGGATTGATGATATGGCAGATGACTAGGATGCCATGTCAGCATTAAATAATATATTTTTTCGTTCAGGGTTTTATTTGCCAATTTTTAAAAGTATAGAGTTTTAATTGCCAATTTTTAAAAGTACAATGTTTTTTTGGATCAAAAAAAAGTACAGGGTTTAAATTGCGACGAGAGAAAAGTACAGGGTTTTAAATGGAATTATCCCTTAAAATAATATACAATTTATTTTCAAAATAAGACCCCGAGTGTTGAAATTCGGTGGAATATTCAAAGATTCTCTATGACGGTGTCAATATTATGTTCTTTAAAATATTTTAAATTGATATCTCAAATTTTAAAATATTCTAAATGAATATTTTAATTTATAAAATAGATAATAATTTTTAGTTTGGATGACGATATATATAAATTAAATATTAATTTGTAATATAAAAATAAATCGAAGTCGTAAATTGTTTTCAATTTAGTGAATTGAAATATTAATTTAAAATATTTCAACATTTGAAATATCAATTTGGAATATTTTAACAATTGATATATCAATTAAATCAACTTAAAAATTTAGATATTTATTTAGTATATTTTACAAAGTTGGAATTTATACGAGATTTTATATAGAATCGGATAAATTAGGCTCAATTGTGATAGTTTCGGACCGTTTACAAATCTAGAATTTCCCATGAAAAATGAGATTATTAAAATTTAAATCGTGGGTTTCTTCGTGTGGTGTGGCTGCAACTTGCAACACAAATGAAGGGTGTATAATGGCAGTCGGTGCAAAAATTTAAATAAGAAAGAATGTATATTGGCCATATATGATATTGGTCCGACTGCACTTTTAAGGGTTAGACTCATTAGTCAAATATTATTAAATTTCATTTTATCTTCTTATATAAACCAAAATAAAAACCAATTCATTTGTTATGATATTTTGGTAAGTGATTCACATGATTTGGTGGTAGGGACTATAAATAAGAATATGGAAGGTTGAAAATAAGGAGGTTGCATGTGGTGGGGGCATAATTTTTAGGGCACTTTCAATAACCCTAATTAATTTTAGGGTATGGTGGGTGACCCATCAAAGGGAAAGTTGTCCTTTTTTTCCCTTTCCCATTTAGATTTTTTTCCAAAAAAAAAAGTTTGGGCTTTTTTTTTAGAAAAATCTTTTTTTAAAATTTTTATTTTAATGATTTTTGACAACCATTCTTTGGCAGCTAAACATTCTTCGGCGGAATTGGTATTACAGAATGATAAATTATAAATAATTATTGTTTTGATTTTTAATAATCCAATGAATCCAAATATGCAACATGTATTTTTTTATATAATTTTTTACTCTCACAAATCAAATACGAAATATAGTATAATAACATGTAATGGACACCATACAAAAATGTTTTCACAATCTCTAATAAAAATATTTTGATATTTAAAATAGTTTTAGATCACAATTGCATATTTTGTTTTCTATTCATTTATTGAACTTTTTTTACAATATGGTATCAAAATTTCAAATTCTACATAAATTACCATAAATATTTCTCAATTATCTACCGGGACAGTTGTAAATAAATACATACAAACTCTCTCTCTATATATATATATACACACACAGTTCAATCTTGGATAAGATTTTATTATGTGAAGCAACTTTCATCCATAACTATTTGCAATGTGGAAATTATAAATTTTAAAGAAGGATTAAATCGGCTGTACAATTTTCTCCTCAAGCAGAGAAATTATCACTAAGTCATTTTATTAATTCAATTAATCCTTAAATTTCTTCTTTATATTTCTATTTTTCTCATTACAAATTAATTCTTTTTTAGTGTTTTGTGTTGTGTATGAATGTTTTTTCATTGCTTCCAAAAAATAAAAATAAAATCTGAACCAACGTAATTGGCAAACGTTTACAAACCCAAAGCCCAAAACCCAAAGCCCATTCCGCACCGGTTTAATTCGGTTAAATCTGTACCTATTAAACCGACATCCAATTTTGCGGTATCTCCACTGGTACGGCTATCTTGCACCACACGGCAGTTAAAACCCTAACGTAAAGCACAACTTTCCATTTACTTTAAACCTATGCAATTGCAAAACATACATTTCCCTTTATATTGCAAGGATTTCAGAACACGAGACCGTTTTTTTTTCTCCGACAAAGCAATTCAGTTTCATGAGAACCAACCACAACTCCTGTAACACGAACCCCGGGTTCGCCCGATTCGTCGGCTATATTCGGCTCGAGCCGCCGTCTTCTTGGCTTCTCGGTTCTTCCTGGCTTCGGCTTCAGCCCGTTTCTCTTCAGACCTTTGTCTCGCCATGGCGATTTTCTTCACCATCTTTGCCTCTGCTTCAGCTTTCATCTTCTCAACTTTAGCCTACAAAGATTTTGTAAGATCATTTTGTATAATAATAACCGAGATTTTGATTCTTCTATATCTCATGTACCTCTATACGCCGCCTTTCTGCTTCGAGCTTGGATTTTTCCTGACTCTCCCATGCCTGAATATTGATCTCCTCACGCTTATACCTAAATTTCATTTCGAAAACACGAGAAATAATCATTTCTTGCTATCATTCTCTCCATCTAGAACACTAGTGAGGTCACTAGAGCAGACAAAACCTTGCAGTATGCTTGGATTTCTCGGCTTCCTCCCACAAGGCTGCCCATTTTTCATGTTCAATCCTCTGAAGCTCCTCCATTTCGGAGTTTTTTCCATTGTTTTTAACGTTCTCCTCGTCTTCTTTACTTGCCCAAGTCGCAATGTTCGTCCGCCCTAGCTGAACCCCCAAGGCAACTATCTCTCTTCTCGTCCTCAGCTTGATTTCACGCTCAGACTGTTTGCATTTCGTGCTTTCTGATGGATCTTGCGAGGAAAACGGGTCTTGGCCGCGAGATCTAGGAGTCGAGGGAAGAGAAGAAGTTGGGCTGAGAAGAGGGGTCGTTGCCCCGACGGGTGTAGCAGTTCTAGAAGGTTCTTGACTCGCTACAGGTGTCATTTCCGTTCCCATATCTCTCATACAAACCGAACGCACCCCATGACCAGCTGCGTGTAAAGATCTACTATCAGTCAGAAGAATGAAACCCAGAAACACAAAAGTCAGAAGCCATGCTTGAATTGAAGATTGAAGTACCTGTTGATGAATTCTTTGTCCCGCTAAGATCAATCATGTTTTCTCCATTGGCTCGATCTGGAAAAGGGTGTGATGCGGGGGAAACCGACAGGAATTTCACTAATGGTTGAGAGAAACCGACCTTCTCGGTATCTGCAGCCGCCTTCATCTTGTTACATTCGTAACCCGCATTCTCGGGGGCGACTCTTAGCGGCAACTGGTTTCCCTGGCCACAGAAAGATCCGTTCTTGACTGAATTTTGTCGGTTCACAATCCACTTCTCGGCATCATTCCACTTGGACGGTATCTGTCTCGGGTATGAACTCGGGCCAGGATTACAGTTATAACGTTCGCCACCATTGGGAAACTCGAAACTAGGTGAGCTAGCATTGCTGTCATAATCGGGATTCTCGTCGTCTAGCTGTCTCGTCGGGTGAACCATACTCAAATCACCCTTTCTGAATTGATGGATTCTCGTCCGGTCCATCACTCGCGTTTCATTTGTAACTACAGGATCGAACACAACACGAGAAAATGATCGATCTTTCCGATTATAAATCATTAGAACATCAAGCAGAAGATTTTACCACCACTGTCAAGATCCGATTTGGAGTCTAATAAGCTGTTCTTGGCGAATTCCATAACGTTGGATCCTTCTTTCTTACTGCAATGGCGAGGACCCATCAGCTTCATTCGCAGCTTCGTGGGCGAGATTATAATCTTCTGATGAAATTCAGACCCAGAAATTAGAACAAAGTGATTGAGGCCAAGAACCCTAAAGGTGACAGCTTTCAGACAGAATATTCTTCAGGAGAAAAAAAGAATGAAACTTTCTGAAAACAAACTGAGCAGGGGATTGAAAAGTTTCCACTTTTGAGCAAAAATTCTTGAACAACACACATCAAAATAAAAACACATTTTTATTTTTTAAATTTCTGTAATTAAAACTCACTTTCTGTAGCCAAAATTCGAAACGATTTCTGGAATCTCAAAAAATGTGCAGCCAAATTCGAAAATCCAAACGAATTTATGAACTTGATTTTCCAGGATTTCTCAGATAAACGAACGAGCAGACCACGGGGAAAAAAATCCGTATTCGACGATCCCCATGAATCGATCAATACACAGTGAAAACCAAAATGAACAAAAGAACACTCAAATAAGGAGAAAACAGACAAGTAAAGATGAAGACTGAAAACAGATTTTGGTTCTTGTGGGGTTTTACCTGAACCTTCTCTATCCTCTCGCACTCCATTGCATCTCTCTCTCTCTCTATATATAATGGGTATATATATTTGTGTATATATGTGTGTATCCACAGCTCAAGCGTCTTCAAAACAGAAGAATAGGGTTTTTCTTTTCGAGAAAAACTCTGTACTGGTGGTGGTATGGGGTCATGGGGGACCGTGAATGCCACGTCATCATTCTCAATTTCACCCCAAAATTTACCTTTCTTACCTTTTTTCACTACCAATTTTATTTTTCTTTAATTTTCACTCCGGAGTTTACCTTTTTTCTTATTCAATACAAAATCGGTTTGATCGAGTATTATACATAGAAGAAAACGTCAATTAATTTGTTTCGATTTTTATTTTTTGTCCTCTGCTGCTTTGACCGTTGACTCCCTCTCTCTAATCATTTATCGCATTGTTGTAAATTTCAATTTTGAATTACACGGTTTGTGAATTTGTGACCTTCTCGTGTGTATACGTGTGCACCACCAATATAATATACCGACGATGATGATCGATCACAAAATTATCTTTAAAATTATGGGTTTGACTCCACAAATAGTGCATATATAAAGACTGATCTTAAATATAGGATGAACTTAGTCGGATCGAAATTCCGAAAAATCATCCTCGTTATAAAAAAAACTAAACATATTATATATATTCGTGCTACAATATCATGTATTTAGATAAATTTGCGAGACGCGTACCACGTGTCTATTTACATGAAGAGATTTTGATTATAGTACTAAGATATTGCATATTTTATAAGAGTTTTAAGCTATTAATTATAGCATGGAATATGATTTAAAAAATATTTGATTTTACTTATCCATAATCGCAAGAACAGATTGCATTCAACATGTGCTTAATCATCTTTTTATATGTCACGTTTTTTAATTAAGAACAGCCTATATATATATATTCACTATTCAGTATGCTTGATGTTATGAAAAAAATTGTTTAACATGATGAAACCACATCCTTATCAAAAAAACATGATGAAACCACATACTAATATCTAAAGCATTTTATGTGTTTTGCGATGAAAATCCAGAATTATAAATCTCTTTTTAAGGAGTGCAGTTTACATACATACATACATACATACATACATACATACATACATACATACATACATACATACATACATACATACATACATACATACATACATACATACATACATACATACATACATACATACATACATACATACATACATACATACATACATACATACATACATACATACATACATACATACATACATACATACATACATACATACATACATACATACATACATACATACATACATACATACATACATACATACATACATACATACATACATACATACATACATACATACATACATACATACATACGGTTCAAGTTCAAATGCATGAATTTGACACCAACTACAATTGTAGAAATGCTGGCAAGATCTTTCTGAAGTGGGACCACAAATATTTTAAAATGAAAACTATATAATATACAAAAAAAAAATAGCTTTTTGGTGAGGAGAATGATGGATTTGTTGAGGATCTTCTGAAGCAGAAACTTCTCTCGGAGGAGAACAACTCAGAAGGAGATCTTTGTCAAATCTCCAGACAAAATCCAAATGTTTTTTTTTTTATTTTCTTTTTTTTTATGTTATTTTTCCTCATTCGGGAGTGAATGAGTGTCAAACAGGTCGGCTCGACTCGATCTAATCTGAACCCACATTTGGTTCGAGAGTTTCGGATTTGGGTTAGTCCATTTGAGTCTATAGAATTTGGGTGAACTCAGGTCCAATCAAAGAGGATCAGCTCTTTAATATTTTACGTGTGTGCATTGATAATTTTTTATTACATTTATTTTTTAAAGAAAATCAAATTGGAATTTCGTACCGATCTAAAACCCGATTTGAGACCAGTTTGAAAATCCGAATTATTTTAGGTCAATATTTTAGATCCCAAACTTGATATTTTTTTTTTAAATGGATTCTGCCGAATTTCTGATTTTGGAGCCAAAATTGATACATGTATTTGCCCTACCTAATGGTCTTCATTGATCAATAAAAGTTGTTGCCTTAGGTAGTCCTGCATTTGTAATTGTACGTTTGAATCATTAACTACGATATCTTTTTAATTATTACAGGCAATATAAAATCATTTCACTACATTTAAATAATTTTAGGGAAAAGATAAAATATGATATGAAACAACTAAAGGTTGGTGATGCAAATTAACTCGTCTTTGATGGCTAACGTTTAATGTTACGAATCACGTTTTCCTCGGAGAAAATCTCCAGTCACATGCACGTATTTAAACGCGTTATTTACGTAGCCAAGTTTAATAACTGCGGTAATTAAATTGATTTTATTACATCCCACGCCCAGTCCTAAAATATTCACCATTCATACATTTCGTTGTATAACGGTCGTTGGCACACGTATAAATAATGATTATATTTCAAATGAACTTACTATCAATGGTTCTGTTGAGTATTATATAGAAAATAACGAAAATAATTAATACATTTCATTTTCTCGATTATTTTAACGATTTCAAATAGTTAAAGAAAGTAATCGAAACAACAACAATATTGAAAAAAAAATACAATCAACCCACTAATGCCTTTCATAAAATCCGTTTTGAGAGAGAAAATTGGATGATTTCTTCGAGTTTTTACTCCAGTGTGTCTGAAGATTATAATATATAATTTATTTTATAGTTGGTCGGTTGTTTAGTCAAAAGAGAAAAGAATTTAAGAGGAATTGGGCCTTTATTTTAATTTTGGACTTGGAGATACATTTTGAAAGGCTTTCTTTATGGTATTGGATTTATGAAGAAATGTTTAGGCCAAAAAAAAAGAAAAAAATCATCAAATAAATATCTAAACTTTTGATTTAATTGATATCTCAAATATAAAAATATAAAGTGAATATAAAAAACGAATTGAGATTGTAAATTATTTTCGATTTCGCGAGTATCAATTTAAAATATTTTAATAATTTAGGTATTAATCTGGTATATTTTAATATTTGAAGTATTAATTAGATAAAATTCAAGGTTTAAATATTTATTTGACAAAGTTGAGATATTTATATGAAATTTTTCAAGAAAAAAAAGGTCAATGTTATGGATAGAAACTTGGCCTTCAAATTATTCTAAAACCCTACTTGGATCTCGTGGAGCAGCGGTTCCAGATTTCTTTCTTTGTTTCTTCTTCAATTATCGAAGCTCATGCAAGTTTTCAGCTTTCCCCATTGTTGAAGCTCATGCATGTTTTCTCTACGTCATCGTCGTAAATTAAGCCTCAGTTTCAGACAGTTTGAATCATCGAGAGGAGAGAGAAGGGCTTGTCATCGTGTCGGAACGATGATCGATTATGAAAATCTAGGCAAATGTGTTATAAAATCGAGTTTATGCATTTATTTTTCTGATTTTTCATTTTGGAAAAAAGAAAAATTGATGAAAAAAATAATTGAATGAACGGATGAAATAGGAGAGAGGAGAGAGATTAGATTTCTTTTTTGATTTTTTTTTCTCTGAGCATTTTTTCCTTTATTTATAAAGTTCAAAATAACAACCTAAAAAGATACGCGCACACGAGTCTCGGTGCTTATTAACAACCAAATAACAATTCAAATCAAAACAAATAAAAACAAAACACACGTGGAAACAAGATTAACTCCAACAATCACCTCCTTAATCTTGTTCCTATGTCTTCACCTAGAGCAAAGTGGCCTCTTCTTCAACCTCTTCGACCAAATGAGCTGTGTCATCTCTCTCTTCTCTTGTTTTGCAATCAGAGGCGAAATGACCATATTTATGACATGCATAGCACATGATCTTATTTATATCAAACCTTGGTCTATCACCTCCTCGACCTCGTCCAAACGAACGACCTCTACCACGACCTCTTCTCCACTCACCTTGAGCGAGGAGAACGTGTTCATCAGCTCTCGATTCACGACCCCTTAACCGTTCCTCATGTGCCTTAAGTGATCCGGTAATTTCCTCGATAGACTTGGTCGTCAAATCTCCAAATTCCTCAATAGTTGATGCAAATTGGATATATTTCGTAGAAACAGATCTAAGCATTTTTTTAACAACGTACCCTTCGTTGACACTTTCTCCCAAAGCTTTTAATTTGTTAATTATCGTTGACACTCTTCCGGTGAACTCATCCACCGATTCGCTCTCTTCCATTTTGAGTCCTTCGAGCTCCCATCGTAGCGACTGTGCTTTGACCTCCTTTACTTTGTCTGCACCATGATTTAAAATCTTTAAGGCATCCCATGCTTCTTTTGCCGTTCTTTTTACTCCTATCTGTAACAGGGTCTCCTCACTTATACCCTGACAGATTGCTGCACGAGCCATCTTATCTTTGCTCTTATCGACAGATCCCTCTAACTCGATCGCATCCCAAACACCTTGTGCCTGCATATAAATTTCCATTTTCATAGCCCATACCGTGTAATTTGTCTTTGTCAGGAGTGGGTATTGAAGAGACACACTTCCTTCCTTTATCTTCGTTGTCTCAACACCTTCACTTTGAATACCCTTGCCACTCCGATCGACACTTCGAATGGCACTCCCCGACGACTCTTCCATTGACATAGATTTCGACATGAACTATGAAAGGAAACACAACAACCGTGGCTCTGATACCACTGTTATAAAATCATCAAGAGTTTATGCATTTATTTTTCTGATTTTTCATTTTGGAAAAAAGAAAAATTGATGAAAAAAATAATTGAATGAACGGATGAAATAGGAGAGAGGAGAGAGATTAGATTTCTTTTTTGATTTTTTTTTCTCTGAGCATTTTTTCCTTTATTTATAAAGTTCAAAATAACAACCTAAAAAGATACGCGCACACGAGTCTCGGTGCTTATTAACAACCAAATAACAATTCAAATCAAAACAAATAAAAACAAAACACACGTGGAAACAAGATTAACTCCAACAAAATGGGTATCTGAAAGTCATGGACTTTCGACTAATTTATTCAAGGGTGAAGGAAACTAAATTCCATGATTCTCGAAACCCTAGAATCACAAGCTTCGAGGAAGAAGACGATGTCGGTTAGACTGAAAAAAGGCCGGTTTGTATAATGTTTTTTTCATGCCTGTTGGTAGCAGGGCCGTCTCATAAATTTTTGGGACCCTATACATATTTTAAATTTATATAAATTAATAAATTTAAAAATAATAATTTTAAATAAAATAAAAAAATTAAAAATTGTATTATTTCCAAAAACATTTAAAAATGATATAAATATATTTAATTTAACATAATATACCAATGAACTGCTATAATATATTTTAATTAGTTTTAATAAATGTTTTTAATATATTTTATAGAAACAATCAGTTCTAATAAATATTTTTTTATAACAATTATAATATATTTTGGTTTTAGCTATTAAAAATAAATATTTTAATTTATTTAATAATAATAAAGATAATTAATAATAACAAAAGTTGTTACCGTTTATAAATAATTTTAATTATTTTCTATTATTAATAATTAATAATTAATAATTAATAAGGGGCCCATAAATTTTGGGGGTCATGTTCCATCGCACCTTTTGAACATGCTAATAGACGGCTCTGGTTGGTAGATATCTTTCCATACGTACCGTCACACTCAAAGTGTCGCTTTCAAGAATCTCCCGCGAAAAAGGTAACCGAAAATATTTTTTGTCCGTTTAAACCAATGATTAATCGATTATCATCATGTGATTTTCACTGTTGTTTATTGCTAACGTTTCAGATGCCATTGCCGTTATTATCACATTGCATTTTGACGTGAACATCGTAACCATAACTAATCAATTACATCGTAACAGATATTATAGATTCCATCTATATACGATTATATATATATATGTGTGTGTTAATTATAGATTCCAAATTGGATGACGTGGAAATTTTAAGATATTTTCAGACCAAAAGAAAAGGGTAGAAAGCCTTATGACACATTTTTTTTTTGTTGCATGTCAATGTTTCCCCTACAAGTTTGTCCAAAGAAAGATGCACATCCATCTATATGATTTGTGTGTACGATAATTGTACGTTAATTTGTGATTAAAAATTGTTAGTATTTTCAGCCCGACTCGACTCCGAGACGAGGAAGAGAATGTTAAATAAGGGAGAAATTTACAGCTTAAAAAAAAAGGAAACCAGATTCAAATATATGCGTTTATTTGATATTTTAACTTGATTATTTTGTTATGAATTTTTATTTTTAAAAAATAAAAGTATTTAGTTATTTATTGAGTTTTCCATTCAATTCATTTTTTTTCTTAATTTTATTAAAAACAATTATTTTCTAGAAATAATTTCATTCACATTATATTTTTCTATTCATTTTTGTATTCGATTCCAATTTTAGTTCATTTAATTAAACCATCATAACTAATAAATTTTAACACGTTTATATATTACTAAAACACGTTTTAAAATATTTGAATCGGAAAGCCAATTTTAATCTTGTCGTTTAGTTGAAATATTTAGATAATATATATATATATAACAGACTGAAATTCTGTATATTCTAAATATAACATGTAATAGAAATATAAAGTGTTGCAAATTTCACGTGTTTTTTTGACGTTTTCTTTTTATTGTATACATAATGGGACATCAAGACAACCCCCAGTGGCAGTGGGTGACATGCAACATTATTCAAGATATTTTCAGACCAAAAGAAAAGGTGGAAAGCTTTATAGAACACTTTTTTTTTTTTTTGCATATGTCATTTTTTTCCGTACAAGATTGTCCAAAAACACACCACGTGTCTACACGTAATATATATTATACGGTTTGTTTGTACGTACGTTATCTTACGTTATTTTGTGATTCCAAATTATTGGCATTTTCTGCCCCGGCTCCTAAGAGGAATGTAATTTTAAATAGGGAGAGAAATGTAAAGCTTAGACAACAGAAACAATCAAATATTGGGATAGAAGCAACAATATACTTATATATAACATATAAACACATGAGTAACAAAATTCTAGATTTTTTTTTTATAATTTATAAATTTATCCGACCACTTGAATCACCCTATCTAAATAAAAACTTAAATCTGGATTGAAAAAGAGTTTTCTCTTATCTTTTACCGATTAAGTCATCACCTAATCTTGATCTTCTAACAGTCTTACAGTTTTTTTTTTACATTTCTTTTTTTTTACTGTGCATGACGGAAAATCAAGATAAACCAAATTGAATGATCTGAAAATTCATTTAAGATATTTTCAGACCAAAAGTAAAAGGTAGAAAGCTTTTTAACCCTTTTTTTCCACACAAGATGGTAAGACACACACACATATATATATATATATATGTTATTTGTGTGTACGTTAAGTGTACCTTATGAACCCTTCACTCTTTTGGCCTTTTTTCTCAAATACAACTATTACTGTGACTTCTATTTCAACGGCACACTATTGAAAATCCCTTCAATTTTTTTACAGATTGTACATCACTTTTCATACAAAAAGACTTAAATATCCCTACATATAAAATCTCTAAAATACCCTTTCTTTAATCATTGGACAATAAAAAATGAGAATTAAAAATTAGATTTAATATAAGATTAATGCAGTTTTTTTTCGCATTTGTTTTTTTTTGCCTTGGGCCCACGTGTCAAGATACGTTTTTTTTCGTGATGATTTTTTTCCTTAAATTTAAACTTTTGAACATTTTTTTTAAAATTTTGATTTTCATAAAAAAAAATCTTTTTTTCATCAATTACTACTTTTTGGAATTTATTTTGAATTTAATATATTTTGAAAACAAATTTTGAGAAATTTATTTATAAAAAAAGCATAGTCTCAAAAAGAAAGAAATTGATCAACGGAAAGAAAAAATTTGTCCCTGACCTACAATCAGAAAATTAAGTATGAAAATAATTGAGAAAAACAAAAAAAAACTGACATATGTCGAAAAAATAAAATTTTGTCTTATTATAAACCAAAACTAGTATTTTGCAACTGGAATATGAATACATTACGATTTTCGAAATTCGATGAAAATGTCCTAAAAATCGTTAAATGAAACGAATTTTTATTAAGAATTCATATATATTGACTGAATATTGTCTACTTAAGTGGAAAAATTGAGTTTAAAATCAAATTACAAAACTTTTATATAAAATCATCAATTTTGGACCAAATCACTTCATAACTTTTCTTAAACATATAGGAGTGTTTTCTAACTTTCATGATAAAAAATTTCAAAATTTTTATTTTCTTAATTTGTACCTTTAAATCATTTTGTAATACATATTTGGTATGTTTTCATTATTAATCGACAAAAAATTTATCAAAATTTATGAGTATTTATATAAATACGACTAATGTAGGTCGTATTTAAATTATAATCTATAATGTTTTCGTAATAGATTTTTTTATCATGGATCCACCTGTCAGATGATTACTTTGACTTTTCTTTCATCAATTACGACTTTCTTTTTAATATTGTGACTTACTTTTTAATATTGCGACTTACTTTTTAATATTGAAAAATAGCAACTATTTTATTGCAACTTACTTTTTAATAAATTGCAACATACTTATTCCATTAAATACGACTTCAAAGTTTACAAAATCAACCTATATTCAAGTAACACAAAATATCATAACATCAAACCTAATACAAAATACCAAAATAAAACATAACATCTCACAAAACAATATAACATATAATAAAATTAAATTTATTTCAAATATCTTCAACTAGAAAATACCATAATATGATAAATATATAAGAATATTTTTAATCATTTTTGTTAAAAAAATTCAAAATTTTTATTTGTTTAATTATAAAAAAAAAATATGTATTTTTTCACAGCTAAATTTTTATCTTGGATCTATTTGTCAGATGCTTATCTTTTTTCTTTTTTTCCTTCATGACTTTTTTTTACTTAAATTCAAACTTTTGAACATTTTTTTTTTAAATTTAACTTTCATAAAAAAATTATTTTTTTACTTTCATCGATTTCCATTTTTCTTCGTTGATTTGTTTCAAAATCGCCGTTCGTTTTGTCTGATTTCGCACTTTCTCCCTTTTTTTTTAAATATGTAAAAACTGTTAAAAAAAATTTAAAATAAATCTGTTTTTTTCTCGCGTTTTTCTCCCTCTCTCTCAAATAAATCGGTACACGTGCATGTAGTTCTCATCCGTTCTCTTCATTAAGGGCTACATAGTCTTTTCCATTTATTTTAAGAGTAAAGAAGATTTTTGCTAATAGATTATATTTTTAAGGTGTACCCATGAAATAGAAGCGACAGGAACAGTGTATTTGAGAAAAAATGCCCACTCTTTTGGTGTTGAGAATTCTTTTGTCCGGTGACCGGAGATTAATTTTCCGGCGAAATGGACCAATCTTGGCGTATGAGGATGGGCTTTGACCCGTTCTCCCCCGTCACCAATCCGTGGACCAAACCTTCTCCGCCGCATCCTCCGTGGATGCCGACCACCCTCCGCCGACCATTTTCACTCGGAGATTTTCCGGCGACTTCACGCGGTCCAACTCCTTCTACGACGAGGTTTTCCAGTCGCCGGAGTTCGGATCCCGGAAGCTTCCGGCCTTCAAACCTCACGGGCGTAATTTCCCAGCGTTCAGGATTCCCGCCGGCGGATACGGGTTTCACGTCGGAGGAGCCGGTGGCCGGAGAACAACGACGGAGAGGTCCCAGACGAAGCTGAGGTCAACTGCGGTCTCCGGAGATGACGTGGCACCGACTTCCTTCACTTCTAAGCTCAGGTAAATTTACTTAATTGATCCTCCAACCACGCGGACTCATTGAACAACTGACGAGGGTAAAGCACCTTTAACCAAAAAAAACCAAAACAAAAAACTGACGAGGGTGATTTAGTCATTTCACGTGATCTATTCCTATTTTTTGTTCCTTTCAGAAAACTGAATATTTGGTCGAGAAGGAGAACAGGACACCATCCGGAACCGAAGAAACAGGACATTCCGGCATTCGGACAAGCCGGAGATTCCTTCTCCGGCAACAAAAACATGGCGGAAAATGCAGATTTCTACTATGGCGGTGCCCGGAGAGCCTCCCCCGAGACAAAAAGCCTGGACGGTTCTGGACCGAGCTCTCGTGCATCATCCTCTCCTCCTCCCTCTGTTTGCGAGAAGATCGAAATGGAACAGAGGGAAGATGATGATGATGAATACGAAGTGACGAACTCGTACGGGACCGATGACTACAATCATTACCATGGAAGAGGAAGTTCGAATTCGATTGATATAGAAGAAGCTATCGCCTGGGCAAAAGAGAGATTTCTCCGTCCGGACACGAAGCCACAGTTTACTGAAACAGAGTGTAGATCCTATGAAGGAAGTTTTGGGAATTCAACATGGAAACCAACCACAACAGTAAGTTTTTTCAGACATCTCCTTGCATTTCTTTCCTGTAGAATGCTGTCAACTCTGAAACTGACAACGATGTGATGATTTTCAGGAAGACAAAGAAGAAAGCAACTCTTAGATCAAGGAAGAGGAAGAGAAATCAGACGAACAAGTGAGCGAGATTCTCTGAGAAAATCAGTAAAACCTCTGTTTCTGTGCTATCTCTGAATAGGAACTTACGGGGAAAATCTGGCAGGTGGAGATGGAGAAGGAAGAAGAGATAACACGTTGGTTAACCGGAAAGGAAACCAACATCAGATTCCTGCTCTCATCTCTCCACCACGTAAATTCACAAACTCTGCTTCCAAACCGCAATTCAAGAAACCCGACCCTGCATATACTGACATTTTTGGGTTTTGCAGATTCTTTGGCCCGGGAGCGGATGGTACGAAATTACTCTGGCGAATCTGCGAGAAGGAACACAAGTGAAGAAGGCATACCAGAAGGCTCGGCTATGTCTGCACCCAGATAAGTTGCAGCAGAGAGGAGCCTCACCGCCTCATAAGTACATCGCCAAGAGAGTCTTCGTTATTCTTCAGGTACGTATCTGAAGAAATTTCGGATTTTGACACGAACCCGACCGAGATACTGGTTTAGCCCAGATCTCAAAGCTTCAGTTGTTGGTTTGATCTGGTTATGTCTGTCAGGATGCATGGGCGGCATATGTATCAAGAGAAGGGTTCTCGAGCTAGACCAGTCGGTTCAAGGCACTCCGGTTTCAGTATAAACCGTAATATGCTCACCAAATCATCAGGTTTGTCACGGGTTAAATTCCAGGTTGAGTACCATGTAAGAAGAATATCAAATGAAAAGTTTGGTTCTTTTTATGTAAAATAAGTCAGATGAAGACTCCCTATGTTCTTTTTTTCTTTCTTCCATAATCCATGTTCTACATGAACACCAAGCTACTTGAACAAAAATTATTTTCGACACCAAACAAATGGAACATATGTAAATAAACTCTACGAATCGAATGAAAATGAATGACGGGAAGTTTTAGGCTGTTTTCCCGTCGCCTCATATCGATCAAACGTCAATGCAACAAGCGAAAAAGCTCGGTATAAAGAGAAACTGACCGGAGATTTTGTCACTTGTTTCTGGTGATGACTCTATGGGTGATATCGATAAGCGCCCTCCTACACCTTTTCACGTCTTCGTCATCGGTTTCGGGTAAATCACCGATAGCCGCTGCAGCGAGGTTGGCATGCTCCAAAGCTAGCTCTCTCGTCCTTTGTATTCCCCTGCTCTTCCCGAGATACTCTAGCGCCTGTAATACAAAAAAAAAAGACGGACATTCCTAAATCGGTGAAAAAAACGGAAGGAAATGATTCGGGTACACAAAAAGCTTCCAAAGATGCAAACTTTCAGTATAAACAAGGCATTTAACATGAAAAAGGAAAGAACAGAGCAATAGGATCATAATCTTAATGTATGAAACTTACAATGTTGATGTTGGCCGGATTGTCGAACCCCTGATGAACAATCTCACTTAGTTGAGGGTACTCCTCCATGGCAAAGAGGATTGGAGCTGTTATGATTCCCTGCAGAAAGAGATTTAAAAATGGTTATAACAAGGCTCAGATCAGAAAGTTTTCATCTTCGAGGCTATGAAAAAAGAAAGAACAGAGCAATAGGATCATAATCTACAGAAGAAGTGTTATATATTACGTGGCGGATATCGGAAAGAGATCCCTTCCCGAGAGATGTTGAAGTGCCCGTGAAATCGAGGACGTCGTCTATCAATTGGTATGCCAATCCCTGAAAGCAGAAAATAATAACTGATCGGCAGAAATGGAGGCAACGGAATCGATGGAGAACAAACACAGTGGAGATACAAACCAGATTCTTCCCGTACTCAAACGCTAACATGGCAACTTCCGTTGTTTGTCCAGCGAGAATGGCAATGGACTTGCAGCTATTCGAAATTAGTGATGCGGTCTTATAATACGTCTTCTGCATGTAGTAGTTCATACTGCACTCACAAACACACACACACACACACACTGATGAATCTTATGTCTGAAAAAGAGTATACTGAGCATACCGATCGAGCGGTGAGTGAGGAAAAAGAATCAAAAGTCCGAGAAGTATTTTCGTTACATGCTCGGGAAATCTAAGGATCCGTTAGTTAAAGAATAGGCTAGAAGATTATGCTATCGTTATACCAAGCAAGCGAGAGCGAAATTTTACCTGTGACGCTGCTCGGATGTGCTTGTCATCTGCATGGTTTCACCCGTAACGAGATGCTCCACAACTGTTGCAATCAGCGATACAACCTAAAAGGCAAATAAATAACGAGATCGATGGCTTGCATGACCCAAAAAAAAAAAGAAATGCTTGATGATGGTGAAATTGATGAATCTTGAGAAATTGTCTTCACAGAAAGGACACAGATTCTGTGGAGACAGTGATTTCTTGAACAAGTCTTTCCGTAAATATTTACTGTCTGAATGAAAAAACTGAGTGGACCCTTTAGTCTTACCTCGGTATTTTTCAAAGAAGCAAGAGCCACACAAGCTCGAGAGAGCAAAAAGTCTCCAGCTAATACAGATATCTACACCATCGATTCAACGGTGAAATATCAAATTATCAATAAACAAAATTTTGACAAAGATATTCGAGTTCGGAGAAGCTAATTATCTGCCTATACCTTGTTTCCCATCACAAGATTCAATGAACCAATACCACGTCTCGTATCTGCGTCATCCAAGACATCATCGTGCAGAAGGCTCGCAACCTACAACGGGTTAAGCATATAATAATCTCAATCAAGAATGTTTCCAATCTCCATTTTTAAGAAAGAATCAGTAAATCTCTGTATAGTTGAAAGCAACATCCGAGGAAAACAAGTCTAGAAACTAACATGTATCATTTCTGTGATTTCAGCAATACGTTGTTGCCTTGCACGCAGTTCTGATGCAGGCATGGCTACAGACTCGCCACCTGATACTTCGGGTAGGCGTACATTTAGAGCAGTTGCCATCAAGAGCAAGACCTGAAAACATTAGTATGTGTCCATTAAGCTTCTTCAATTCAAAATGATTGACAAAAAAATCATAAGAGAAGACAACTGAGGCTTCACACACAGTATAAAGGAGGACAACGAGTTTACTGTTTTGGACTCTGATTTAGCAAGAACAGTAAAGAAGAACGGGAAACAAGACACGGAAGTCGATTCAGATTTTGCAATGAAAAGATACAGAAAGGATAGAGACGTAAAGAATTCATTGTCATTACCGTTGGACGAAAGCGTTTTCCTTCAACCCCCATTTTAAAGAAATACTCAGCTGCAGAGGCAAGCGAGGGAACCTGGACAGTGGAAGATAGATGAAAACTATTCGGTCTTACCGTTGGACGAAAGCGTTTTCCTTCAACATCAAATCTGCTTCCACCACTCTTCGTAAACATGCTAACTCAAATCGAAACTTAAGAAAAAGGTGCAATGCTACTAAGAAATACCTCAGCAACCACCATGGCCCGCAACTTATTACCGAGAAGAGAAAGCTCATCGGCAACAAGGGAGAATGGGTCAAGCTCCTCTTGGCAAAGGACGGTCTCGTTCTTTAGAAAAAGGCGAAAAGATGAGCAAAACTGGAATTAGGACAATGAGAGTTGCATCTATGCTACGGATATCTCTAATTGGAAATCTATCAAATGACTTTCAACCATTGGATCTGACAAGGGAGATTAGAGAAGTAGATTCGAACCTCAACTAACGAGCTGCTCTGATGATAGAACTGATGTCTGAAAGTACCAAAAACAGGAGATCTCCATGAATAAGTTCCTCCGCAACCGAAACCCTACTAAACATCATAAATCATAACAGCCAAACCATCTATTGGTTAGATCACTAATGACAAGAATGTGAAACTTTGATAATCAAAACTCAGTTCAGCAGTTTTTCCTGTCCTCTCTCTCTCTCAGACAACATTCACACGCAACAACCACTCCTTAAAACCTCCAAATTAAGCATTAATTAAAGCATTCGGAGAAAAATTGAACTCTTTTCATATAATGGTAAAAAAATGTTGGAATCAGCTGTTTTAAACACTAATAATAATGGTTGGTGATTAGTTGAGAGGATTTGTGTCCCCAATTTACAATTAGATCATGAATCTTTGTCACTGTGCATCACAGATTGCAAAACTTGAAACAAAAGTAAGAGGAACAAAAGTCACATGTGCTACAGGAGAAAACTGCGGAGTCCGTAAACTCATTACGACGATCAGAACACAACCAATTTCCTTAAATCTTGTCGACAATCCTTAATTGAAGAAACCCTAATCGAATAATTTCGTTTTCAGCAAGGGAAACGATTAGTTACCTCCTGTGTGGGGTCAGAACGAGAATGGTCCTGATCGGGGACGACGATGTGCCGATGAGCACCGAGAAAAGAAGGGCAACCAAAGAAGCTTCCTTTTCTCGGAAACTTCGAAGAAATCCGAGAAAATCCTCTGGAAAATAACATTTTTCTCTCTCTTTTGAATCCAAACACCAATCGCTCCTCCCAGAAAGCCCGCTAATTTTCAGAATCTGATCAAAACCCAGGTCGAATAGCAACAACAGGAACCGACTTTGCTCTTTCTCCTGAGATCATTAGTAGGACAATCACGAAATCGCCATATGCGCCGCCGACGAAGAACCTCAGTAATGAAAATATTTGTTAAGAAAAAGTCTATTTCGCCCTCTCGTTGGTGTTTTTTTTAGGGTTCCTCATCTCTCGAGGGTTTTAATGCAAATTTAATTAAATTATTCAGAATCGTCTCTCTTTTTTTTTCTTTCCATTTTGGGTTTTTGTTCCTTCACGCCAAAACAGAACCAACGACTATAACGCCGACGTAGGAGAACAAATCAGTTTTGGATTCGTCTTCCTTCGTTAATTTAACGCGTTAAGGTTACAGATTTTTTTTTATTGATAATATGTTATTTGTGAAGAGAGTTCGAATGAGGGTGGAACACTCTTCGTGTATAATCACTTATGAGTTGAGCCAACCACTCTTGGTTTTGGTTAAAGTTACGGAATTTGATTCCCGATGCAAAAATGATGCACTAAAGGTCCATTATTCACTTTTCATCTTATACACACATATACACACAATGCAATCCGAATTTTTTCTGCATATTTAGTTTTATATCTAAGTCTAACGTGACCATATATTTTACTAACACTAACAACCTTTCTCTGAAATCTACACAAAATGATTGTTCTTGCAAATATATTTTTCTAAAAAAGAGTAAACAAATGGGGAGTTATCTACCTGAGCTTTGGGGATAAGGGTGTGTGTGTTCACTAGAGACCAACAAGAACAGGATCTTAGGGCAGATCCCCAAGATTCTTGGAAGGTTATTTGGGTAAATTCCTTTGGATTGGAAGAAGTGGAGGGCGGATTCTATGGATTGGGTGGAGGTGGGAGGTTGAGCAGAAGAGATCAAGGAGAAGGTATTGGCCATGAGCTCATCGAGACAGAGGACCTTCTCCTTCATGGTGGGGAGTTTAGGGTTTTGACCTGCGACTGCGTAAAGAGGGTTGTGTTTTAATGGCGTTTTGATTGTAGGCTTTGAGGTTAAGATCGCCTTTTGTTGCAGAGGACATGAAGGTTTCGTCCGTGAAACGCAGCGAGAGGGAGATGGAGAAATGGGTCAGGTGGGCATTCGACACGTGGCAGTGGTCTTGGATATGATTGGTTGAGATGAGATTACAGAAGGTGTTGGGTTTATTTTACTCGTAGATGATCCATCATCAATAGACAGAACAAGCTTAAATCAGCAACTTGTGCAATCAATGAAATTACTTCTCATAGTAAAGGTTCTATAATTTTTAAAATTGAACCGAAAATAAAAAAATAATATTTGAGGAACTACTCAAATTCTGAAACATGTTGGAAAACAAAGGAATTGAAAGTTTTAAAATTTTAATTCGGAAAATTTACAAAATGTACCCTAAAATGTATAGCGCCGGGGTTTCTCTATGAACATATAGTTTAGGGCGTGAGTAAATAGTTTTAAAAGTATAGGGGTTTGTATGTAAAAATGCGATTGTTCAAGGCTTCATTGGGATAATTCCCATTCCAATATAAAGTTATAAACCTGAAAAGGAAAAAAAAAAGTAGAATGAGTTAATAACTGATTAATTGAATGATTCGAATGAAATAACATATCATCAAAACTAAATCAAATCTATAAAAAAAAAAAAAATTGAACTGTTATGATTTCTCCCAAAAAATTTAATATGAAACATGAAACGAAACACATATTGAGAGATTGAACTGTTATGTTATTTGATTGATTGAATAATATAAAACGTTTTTATTCCACAAATCTTGAGAGAATATTGCAAGGTGGTCTTCCCTTTTAGCCTCCTACATTGTATGATTAAATGTATCAAAATTGGATACGATCCGAATCCACTGTTGGGAAACAGTATCAAACTCATTTACATAATTTTATGGTCCAAACAAAAGGAATATTGTATTGCTGTTTTGTTACAAATTAATGTATATATGTGAATGTGAAAAGTTATTAATGGATGAACGAAAAGGAGAGCGGTCAAAACGGTCAAAAAGAGGAATTTCGTTTTGGGTCAAAAGGAACGGTCAAAACGGTCACACAAAATTTCACTCTCAATTCATCATCATGGCTGATCTCACTCCCCTTCGTCTCTATCTCTCCCCTTATACCTATATATTTTACAAATCCATACAATTACTTCATTACCAAACTATAATTATTTATATATACACATACATGCATATGCACATACGTACATGATCATATGTTGTTACTTAATTACGTTATAAAACATATGACCAAATCTATAGAAATTAGATCATTAAAGATTCGAGCATGTGATGTATATGTGTCCAATCATATTATAAGGTGCATTTTTTTTTCAAATGGATCGTCGCCTTTTTTTTTATGCCTATACTTGTGAGGTGTCTAGTATATAGTGCTGTACCTTGTGGCTTTGGCAACTCCGTACAACGATCCATTTAATTTCTTTTTACATTTTTTTAATGTCGATCTTTATGATCATTAATATATATATTCATGAGCGAGCATGTTATGTAAAATAAAAATAAAAATTAAACCATGGTTTTTGTATCTCTAATTATTGCGATGAGAATATCAATATGTACACATCGGTTAAAGTTTATCGATGTTAATTCGTTAAAAATCTCTTTAATACTCTAATAAAAGGTTTACATAACCATATTCCAAACTCATGAAATACACTTGGCCATCAAATAATGTAGTCCCATAACTATTCGATTCGAATCCTTAGTTTTTTATTTGTATATATTGTTACTTAAAAAAATTCCGGAGTAAGAATTAAAGCAAGAAACTAAATATATCAATGAACTGAAGAATTATCATAAACCATAGAGCTTCAACTATATTCTTTCATCCAGGCTCTTTTTTAGACATTTTTCATTATAATATATATATACTACAAAACACATAATACCATTTAAAATATAACATCATCATCATCATCGTTGAAATGCCTAGCATCACACACATATATATGAGTGAATACTTATCGTGTATATATATGGTATGGATATATATTAAGAGTTAATCAAAGCCAAAGAGCACCAGCATCTTTGAGGAGAGGAATCAAGGAGCCGTTGATGTGGCATGCCATGAGAGTGTCGATGCCGCCGAGAAACTTCCCCCCGACGAAGATCGCCGGAATCGGCGACATCTTTCCGCAGCCGGAGAGGTGGAAGAGGACGGCGTGGACGTCGGAGGCGGCGGAAGAGGACGGGAGGAGGTCGAGCTCTACTACGGTGGGTCCCACGCCTAGGCCGAAGAGGAGTCGTTTCACGACGGTGCACATGCAGCATCCGCTCGTGCTGAACACCACCACCGCGTTTTCTCCGGCCAACCTCCTCACCGCCTCGTACGCCGTCGGAACTCCGGCGTTGGGTCCGTACACATCCGCCATGGCTCGGATTCCTCCGGTGGATTGATCGTCGATTGCTTGCATCTCTCTCTCTCTCTAGTTTCTTAGGGTTTCTTTTCGTAAATATTTAGGGTTTGTGGTATGGTGACTGGTCAAGTGTAAGAGTGAGAAATGAAGGGCCTTGTGTTGTGTGTATATATACACTCGATATATGTGATTTATAGTGAATTATATGTAATCAGCTGTGAGACGATATATACGTACCCACCTTCTGTTTTGGCAACGATAAATACCCACATTTATAGATGTGTATATGTCCGTGTATAAAGATGTGATCCTATTAGAGATTCATATAATATATATCTGAGATTCATATATAATCTCTAACAAATCCCTTTCTTAGAATTTCTTTTGTATCAAATTTGTCTCTCTCTATATATATAATAGAATAAACAAGACTTTAAATACATCAAATTCATTTGAAAAAAAAAACAAGTAAAATTTGTGCCCACATTATTTGTTCCTCTATATTTGCATCTTTGTAAAACACACACTCTCTCTCTCTTTGTTAAAAAAAACATAATATATATATATATAAGAGCATATATGTACATCTGTCGTTGTCTCTAATTTAATCAGAGATCGGTTTGGCAGTTGTTGAGAGAGAGAGAGAGAGAGAGTGCAGGCAAAGTCTGAAAAAACACTGAACAAATCTTTCCTCTGTTTTCTTCTCCGTCAACGTATTCCCTTGCTTATGTCGATCCACCTAATTTACCCGTTTTCCTTTTTTCCACATTTACCAAAAAGCATAACTTTTTTATTTATTTATTTTATACACACGGATATTCTTTCGAAATACCCAAATGCACCGCCAATTTGTTCATAGAACATGTATAATTTTATTGTGAAATCTATGAAACGTGAATTATACAAAAACTGCTCGTTCGTTTTAAGGAAATCATAACATTTTGAATCGATATTGTTGTTAAATTTTTAGGACATTAAGATCCATTTCGTGAGGAAGAATGTATTTACAGTACGGTAATCACTTATATGAGGCCATACCACTCCAAACAATATTATTATTTCACGTACTTTTGCCAATGGTTGAATTTGATATATATATATATATATATATATATTCCATTTTCAACTTCTTATGCACTATGATTGGCGGTGGTTTAAAACGCATGATATCTACATGTCCCAAGAGGAATATATATTTTATCTCATTTGTTTACAGCTTCATTTTCTGCTAATTTTTTCTTTAACTATTTACATGTGATTGATTGATACCTTTTTTTTATTAATGATTATTCCAAGGTTTGGAGTAATTATTATGCATTTCTGAATATATATATATATATAAAGAATTTATTAATCGTATTTACATGTTATATGAGTACCTAAATATCATGAATTTTAAATGAGAATACCGCGAAATTAGACTATGAGGATGCAAAAAACATTTGACTTTTGGTCAAAGATATCAGAAACTGAAGTCACGAGTTCTTACGTAATAGAAACTCGGAAAGCCTATCCAGTGTCCACATCAGTTTTCTGTTACAAGAACTCCTCTATAAAAAGCATGCATGGTCTTTAATTAGTTCTATTTTAATATATTTATTTTTCTATCAACGGATATTTATCTTCTGTGAAGTTATAAATCATCATATGTTCGTGTGTATATATATATTACGTTTGGTTTACTACTCGATAGCAAAAGTATGCAGAAATTCAATTAGTCATGCGAAAGGGTTTCTAATTTTATTGTTTTTATTTTTTTTTAATTTCCGAAAGTGTTTTTTGCTGTCATTCGGACATATTCGAAATTACATATTGTAGGATTCTGAAAAAGTGTAGGGGCGCCACACAACCCAGGATGTTCGTTAAATAAGCAACAACATATACATATATATATATATATGCAGGACGCTTCCCCGTCCATATCTCATATGGTATATATATATATATGTAATAGAAAATATTTGATATATTTAGATTATAAATTAGTGCAGGGGCAGCACACCACACGAATTATAAAATATCATAATTATATTAGAAATTAATGTCTCGTATATTACAAAATATTTTCTATATTCTTTGATTACCATAAATCACACGGTATTATTTCGTAATGATATATTATATAATTTGCGTGCATGTAAAATATATTTTTATTAAGAAAACCTTTTAGTTTTTTTTTGTTGCCGACGTGGAAATTGGCACGGCCCTTCATATTTTAAAATTTTGAGCGCTGGGCTCCAGAAACTGGGCCAGGCTCATTTTGGGCCTAATTTAGAAGCAATTGAGGTTTGATTAATAAAAAAAATGGCCCTTAGCTTTTTTTTATATATATATATATATATATTTTTAAAGTGATTAGAATTGATTGTTTCACTCCTTTTTCTAATTATTTTTTTTATGATTTTCAAATAATTGAATTTTTCTAGTAAGTACAATAAAAAAATATTTAGACTAGGAAACTACACATTCAATTCGAACTTCATAATTATCTAAGATTGTATGCAATTGTATTCTTTTAAGCTAAGGTTCACTCGCATGAAATTTATTTTATACCCTAAAATTATAAGTTAAATTTTATCCAAAAAGAATGTGACAAATGGATTGGTAGAAGAAGGCACTTGCAGTAAAAGTGGACATAAATAACTTTTAATTGCATTTGTTATCAAAATAGAATAGGTAAGATCACATAAAGTAATCAAAGATTCTTTAAAAATAATCTTTTTATAAATAAAAATCGAATCCCAATAAAACATTATATAATGTCTACTCAAATATCTATTAGATGGATTATGCGCGAGAATGTACTTGAAATATCTAGTAGAGCGATTTCTTTTATCCAAAAATCACAACATCTTAAAAGATCGGATATTTTTGCCAAATCCTATCATATTTGGGAAGAAAAGGTTACGGTCAATTCTATTTCTTGAGCCAAGAAATTAAAGCAACCAAAAGTCCCATCTATGTTAACGGAATGATATAATACTATTAATTTGATTATGATTAATTTGAATTCAGTTATTTCGGATTTTGAAAATTTATAACCCAACGGTTATTTGGGTTTAATTGGTCTGTCTTGGTTATATATAGTTAAAATCGTAATCAAATAATAACCAAATAAAAATTTAGTTCGGTTCGATTAAATTATAATGTAAATGAAACAAATTTCAAAATATTGTTAAATAAAAATTTTAAAGGTTTTGTTAATTATGTTAATTAAAGAAAATTTTCATTATGTTAATTTTTCTAATTAGATATAGCATGCATTGAGTATTAATAGATGAAAAATGAGCATACAAATGGTTAGATTCAATTGGTTACGGTTAATGTCAATTTGACCTATTCGGTTACGGTTAATTCATATTCGGTTATTTTATACTTAAAAAAATTATAATCAAACATTTATTTAATTTTAATCGATTCGATTCAAATGTAAATCAGTTTGGTTTTCAAATAACGGTTTGCACACACCTCTGTTAATTGGTTTAAAACTCATTATAATTCTCACCTTTATAGATGAGGTTGGTAAAACGCCGCAAGTAATGGTAAAATGGTAATAGAAAGAGGATAATTTATCTTTTTTTTCCATAAAAAAAATGTTGCCGATGAGTATTTCCAATTTTAACTCTTTTTAGTAGTTTTATTTTTGTATTTCAATGTGAATTATTTGATTGAATAATTTTATTTATCTTATTTCCTTCGATTCAATCGATTTTGAATATGCGGAGATCGAGAGGGCCATATCTTACCAAATACATTGGAATGTCACCTTCATAGAAAAGCTTACTCTCCATTGAATATGGTGTTCTAAATACCACCACGGGTGAATAAACATGTACATGTACACATTTATTTGTTTATGTATTATTATTATTATTATTATTATTATTATTATTATTATTATTATTATTATTATTATTATTATTATTATTATTATTATTATTATTGTTATTGTCAAATTATGAAATGAGGGACATTTGTGAGGATAAAATTTGCAAAAGTAAGTAAAAGGTGAATTTGCAAGTACGCTTTGAAACATTAAAGGATTTATAGCACCTGCATCGTACGAAAAGCCTGCCATTAATGCCATGCGAATTATTGTGCTCTTTCAATAAAATAAAATAAAATAAAGATTTATGAAACTTTTTTATTTTTACAAACTCATTTCTCCATAAAAAAATTATGCTCGTTTCATTTATTGCATTAACAATAATTTATTGTCAAAATAAAATTTAAGGTGATATAGTAACGCGGTTAAATATTTTTCTTGGTAGAGATAGAACTAAATATAATGAAGACATTTTTGTTTCGATTTATTCTAGATAGTTTTTAGATTTAGACATTTTTGTTTTAATAAAGTTATATCTATTCAAAATTTCATTAATTTTTACTAATATATTTATACTCATTTTTAATTAAAAACATTTATTTTGTACATTTTTTAATTATTATAATCAATTTAAAACTTAATTAACTTAATTTAAAAAAAACAATCCAATCAATCAAATTCAAATTCAAATTAAATCAAATATAAATCTATTCAATTTAATTTTATTTATTCAAATAAGTACTAAAGCTTGCTACATATTTTTAATCAGTCGTTGATAATACATAGAGACATTGATAGCATCATTATAACTCGTGCAAATAACTTTTTTGAGTCTAAATTATAAAAGTAAATAATTCTAAACAATAACTTAGAGCTAATAAAAATAATATTATTCTAAAATTTCATAAAATTAAATGCCTTTAGACAGTGACACGTGCCTCACCGTCTCGAGCCAGTCGCAATGCTCTGTCACCACAGAAACCCAAACTTCACTTTTTCTTGTAAAAAAGGAAATTTTATTTCGAATCATTTTGATTTTACCTTGAAATTTATTGGTATTACAATAAATGTATGGATATTGAAATGAAAATAATAGTTTGAAAATAATTTGATGCACAGAACACTTATCTATAACATTAGTTGTGATTATTTATACATTTAAGTTAAGCATAAGAGGCAGTTGTATGCAAATAATAAAACAAATGTTTTATTCATGTATTGCGTAGTTGTTGTAATAATAATAATAATAATAATAATAATAATAATAATAATAATAATAATAATAATAATAATAATAATAATAATAATAATAATAATAATAATAATAATAATAATAATAATAATAATAATAATAATAATAATACACAAGTTGATCGCGTGGTTTCTTTAAAACCGGCAAGTTAGTTGACTTGACCATGAAATTGCGTAACCATTTATTTGGTAACAACATAAACTTAATTTTCCTTTTAATTTCATTTTTTAATTAACGAGAAGATTAATTCTTGATTATTAAATATGGCAATAAAAACAGTAGATCAGACAAACCCCAAATTGTCCACTTTCATCCACTAAACATTAAATTAATAATTAATAATTTATTAATTAAAAATAATATATCGGATTAAAAAAATATTTAATCCATAAAGATCTGGATTTCTCCCTCGTCCTATCTCATGCACACGAACAGCATACATAAATCAGTATGAAAATAACAAATCATGGAAACATTCATAGGCGTATGTTTATTTCTTGTAACAGTTTCTGAATTCGTTATCTTATTTAAATGAAATGGACCGGTGAAAAAAATCTTCATTATTGGTTTAACAAATAAATTCCAAGAATATTGGCTTTTAACATATATTCCGTATTTAGTAAATTCGCAAGTTGATTCGATTCTACACAATTTTGTTCTTTTGGTTTATGGATTATATAAATACATGCATACAACACGCATTGATTTATGGTACATGATTTTAAAAAATATTATAAATAAACTAGAAAACATTTTTCGCTTATAACTATTATTATCCTAAATAAGATTAATTGTAACATTTTTTTATTTGATAAAATCGTAATTACCTTTATATTTATGAAATTAAATTACAAATATTTTTAAAAAATTAATCTTTATACGAACAACATCATTTACCTTTACCTAAATCTGGCTGTTTTACATTAAGACATTCCAAAATGCCTTTTCCAATTAAACCTTTAAATACCAAAATAGAGAAATAAATGATTTGTTTTTTCCCTAAAAGATAATTACTTTTTTTTTAATTGGTGTATATGTGATAGTGGGAAGGATAGAGGAGTTCTCAACTTGACATTTGGTTAATGATAAGCTCAGTGCTTTTCCTTTTTCCTTCCACATAATTCTTATTCAATTTTAATTAAATCTAATGGATTTTGTGTTATTTGGCGAAATCAATCAATAAAATGCGATGTTTTTTTTATAATAAAATATTATGTTTGTGCATATATTTCTTTGTTAATTAAAACCTTGGACCACACCTATATATATATATATATGCGTATATATATAACTCTCGATGAAATTTAATGCATATTTATACGCTATATTATAGCATTCTTTTATTTTATCCTTTTTCGGGTCGATAGCGAGAATTGTAATTATTGTGTATAAGTGCTTGAATTAGCTTACAAACTACATACTTATATATGTTTGTAGATTTGTATATGTGCTTTGGACAAAAGTGTCATTCTAATATTAGAAGAAGAAATTTTCTAATTAAAATTTGTGATTAGGCTTTATATATTGTATGGTGTAATTTCCATGCATTAAAGACATTCAATTTCTCTATTCGAATGAAAGATAATACTAGTTTTTAGAAAATGATAGTATTATATGCTAACCAAATATTAAACTATAAGCTAACAAGAAATTATGGCAAATTGTTTCACATAACTAGTTTTAATTAACCTTAAAAATCTTTAAAATCCAACATTTTTTTTAACATGATTCGTACTCCCATGGACGAATTTGATTAATGGATAAAATTTACTCCCTCCGTTTCAAAATATTTGTAGTTTTAGATTATTTTTCATGTTTCAAAATATTTGTCGTTCTATATTTTCAAGACATTTTTTACAATAGTTTACAATTTTATCTCTATCAAATTCTAATAAATTATTAATGATAACATTGTTTTTATCATTAAATAAAGATATATGTGAAAAATATGAAATAACCTAAAATAACAATTATTTTGAAACAAATGGAGTATTAATCACTATATACCCAATAAATCAAGAAAAAAATAGACGTTAGAACTTAGATGTGATATTAATTATGGTGGATAATCCGATTGAAGATCATTAATAATACCCACAGTGGCAGAATCGTAAAAAACAGAAGAAAGGAAGGCTAAAAGGGGGAAATCTAAAGAAGAGTACTAATAGTCCGAACGGCGCAAGTATCTTCCCTTGTCCGATAACCACTGTGGTTTCTCTCGAACAGGTAACTCTCTCTCTCTTTCTCTCTCTCTCTCTCTCTCTCTCTCTCTCTCTCTAAAGTCTCCCTCAAATTCTCATTTTTCTGTGATTTTCCTTCACTTTCCGACCCATTTTCTTGCCAACCAAACAGGCCCGAACCCTAGCTCACTCTCCCCGGGAAAAAACGAAAACAAACCGGAGTTCTCTCTCGGAAATCACAACATTCTCTTATCTTTAAAAAAAGTACGAAACTTTGTCCATGCTTTCATTTTTTCAGCTGAATTCGACGAAATTTTCGATCTTTCTTGTTATTTTCGCTCTAAAGTTTCGATTTTTGATCATTTTCTTATCTGGGTGTGCTTCAAGATCGTGTGATTCAACTTTTTTAATCTGATCTTATCTTCATTTGTTTTGATTCTTGCAGATCTGTGATCTATCTGGATTCTACAATGGCAGATACAATCATCATCTTCAAACTTTTCAGTAGCTGAAGCTCGAGGTTACATTACAGGAAAAAAACTGAGATTTTTTTTTTCCCTCGCTGCCATTGTCGTCTCTAGTGAGCTTGACACCTGTAAACCCAGTGAGTTGAAAAGCTTTCATGTTGGCAATTCTTGAAGCAAAGCAGCTTTCTCAATTATTTTAATGGTTTTGTTTTTAAAATTATTAATTGAGCTAATCCTATTTAATTAAATTGGTTCATGAGATTATTTGTACTGCCATTTTTAGGGTCAGCTTCTAGCTCCAGGAACAAATCTTCCCTCTTCTTCTTCAGCTATTATACCCCTAGATTTTTTTTTTGTTGGGTATTTATCATTTATTATTACGAATATTATTGGAGCAACTTTTGTATAACCAAAGTTCATCGTCTTTAGGGGAAAACTGTACGAGCCCTAGGTTTTTATTTAGGGTTTCTGAAAAGGCTCTTAAGCTATGACCATGTACTGTCTAATGAAAAATTGCAGATCTGCAATCGGTACATGCTGAAAGTATACATCTTTTACAATTTTAGTTTCAAATATATATATATATATATATACGTATATTTTCCGATGCTTTTAATTCTAATTTAATTTCTTTTTCCTCCTTTATTCAGGCTCAATCACTGCAAAAACTTCAGGCTTTGCTTATCATAGCTCTGCAACAGTAACCTCTCAAAGAATAGAGAGAGAGAGAGTCAAAGAGAGAGAGAGAGGTCAATGCTTAGGGCACATCTGTCTCAGCTTCCCGCCGCCGCTGTCGCCGTCGCCGCCGGGAGACTTTTCTCTGTCTGAGCAGAAAGAAAGAACAAAACCCAGTTTCTTGCTCTACTGACAGAGAGAGATTTGAGATTTGTAAGAGATAAAGTCGGTGACTTCGGATCGTGGGTTCGTGGATTCACACAAGAGGTATGAGAATAGCGTTCGAATGGAGGTCGACGACGTTCAGACGCAACAACCCAGCAGAAAACTGCCGAGATTCTCCAACGAAGTCGACGCAGACGGCGGAGGACTCGCCCGAAGAGCTGACAACAGCGGCGACGGCGACGACGAGGGAATGAACAACAGCTTGAGCCTGAGGAGTAGTTGGAACCCGTCGTCTCGCATCGTTAGGGTTTCGAGAGCTTCCGGAGGGAAAGACAGACATAGTAAGGTCCTGACATCGAAGGGTCCGAGAGATAGGAGGATAAGGTTGTCCGTTTCGACGGCGATCCAATTCTACGATCTGCAAGATAGGTTGGGTCTGGATCAACCGAGCAAGGCGGTGGAGTGGCTGCTCCATGCGGCGACGGATGCAATCGCCGATCTGCCGTCGATCAATGCATTTCCCGATGGATTAAGCGATGAGAGAATGGCCAGCAATGGCGGAAACAATGAACAAGAGCTGGGAGATTTCGAAGGACAGAACCATAACATGAACCAGACACTGTCACTGTCGAAATCCGCTTGCAGCAGCACGTCGGAGACGAGCAAGAACTCGTCGGCGTTATCTCTATCGAGATCGGAGATTCGTGGTAAAGCCAGAGAGCGAGCTAGAGAGAGAACGGCCAAGGAGAAGGAGAGAGAGAAAGAGAGGGAGAGAGAAAACGACGTCGTTCAAGCTCCGACGCCGATTCAGCCTCAGAGCTCGTTCACTCAGCTTCTCACCGGCAACCACCACGACGAAGCTAGCCCGACCGGTAACCACCATAACCGGCATTGGACCGGAACATCATCGGTCGAGTATTTCAGCCCGGTTCAGCTCATACCGCCGTCTTCTTTCTCGCGAACCCACCAAGCTTACAACGGTCCAATCCATGCCGGAATCTCTCCTCTCCCTCATTTTTCTCCGTTCACCATCTCCGGCGAGAATCACCATCACCACCACCATCAAGAACCTCTCCAGAGTCAACATTTCTCGTTCCTACCGCCGGAATCTCTGATCCAGACGGCGGGCTCCGCCGCAACCGCCGATTACAGCACTCTGAACTTCAGTATCTCTTCTCCGGCGGCGGTCGCCGGTGGAGGAGGCGTATCCGGGTACAACAGGGGGACCCTTCAGTCCAATTCACCGTCTCTCTTTCTCAACAACAACATCCAGAGGTTTTCTCCATCGTCGACCACGTCTTCGGCTTCGTCGTCTTCTCCGATGGACAGCCAAAGCGTGCCCTTTTTCACGGCTACGCCGTCATTGGAGCACCACCACCACGGCCATCAGATCCCGGCAACTTTCGACGGCCGCCTTTACCTTTATCACGGCGGAGACGGAGGCCGGTGCCCCGACCAAAAGCAGGGCAAGGGACGCAACTAAAAGCCTTGTCTGTGTTCACTTTCATCAACGCTTCTTGCTTCATCACTCATTACAGCTCTGGTTAGTTTCCTAAGATCTCTGCCCCTCATTTAATCCCTATTTTCAGATTATAATCAATCAGTGCAAACTATGAATTCGCAAGAATGGGTCTGAAGTTATTTCAAAAATCTTGCAAAAAGAAAAAATCACTGGCTTTTCTTGATTATTTGATTTTTAATGCTTTCATGCTTGTGGATTAGTAGTACCATGTTTGTTTGCTTTGCTTTTCTTGGGTTTCATAAAGAAATGTGGCCATTGGGGAGAGGACTGAGCCTTATCTTTTTTTTTTTCACATATTATATATATAT